TTTTGTGGACTTGAAAAAAGACGACAGGAGAGGAATTTAATTAATTCACTTATCATCAACAATGTAGAATGCACGGATACCAAAATTATTGCTGAAGAAGTTTATACATTTTATAAAGACCTCTATTCATCATCTAGTGGCAATGAATCAAACCTATTGGATAATATTACACATCTCATCCCAAAAATCAGTCAGGAATTTAAAATGATATGTGATGCAGAGATTGAGATTTTTGAAGTAGAGGCAGCAGTCAAACAACTTTCCGTTGGGAAATCCCCTGGTCAAGATGGTCTGACATCTGACTTTTATAAACATTTTTGGAATAATATTAAAGATCAAACAAGGACTCATCTCTTTGATTCTGAAGAATGGCAAAGATAAAAAAAATTCTAAGCAATCTAAGACCAATTACGCTCCTTAATGTGGACTACAAAATACTCGCTCATGTTGTGGCTAATAGGCTCAAAGAAGGTATTTTACAAATCATCAGCGATTCCCAATCTGGGTTTATCAGGGGTCGCTCCATACATAACAACATTAGGTTGGTCCTAGATTTGTTAGATTACAGGGACACAATTGAGAATGATGGCTTTGTTCTTTTTTTGGATTTCTGCAAAGCCTTTGACCGAGTCAACCATTCCTTCATGTTAGACACGTTACACCATTTTGGCTTTGGAACAAAGTTGTGTGAAATTGTTCAAACCTTATACAGGGATATTAATAGTACTGTACTGTTGCCATCTGGAACCTGCAAACGTTTTAACATTGAAAGAGGCATCCGACGGGTGTCCAGCCTCCCCTCTTCTTTTTATCATGGTCGTGGAAATTCTCAGCATCATGATTAAGAATAGTCAGATAGAGAAATTAGATGTTTTTGGTAATTCGTTAGCTATAATTCAACTGGCAGACGATACTACGCTCTTCCTTAAAAATAAGGAACAGATCCCAATTGCTTTACAAGTAGTTAGTTGTTTTTCAGAAGCCTCAGACCTTTATTTAAACATAGATAAATGTGAATTAATGGCCATTCATGATCATCCTCAAACAACTCTGCATGGCATACCTGTTAAAGATCAAGTCAAGTATTTGGGCATTACAATCTCAAAAAACTTAGAAACGAGAGAAAAATGTAATTTTGAGAGCTTAATTAAAAAGAGTAAAAGTATTTTAAACATATGGCTACAAAGAGATCTCTCAATTTTTGGTAGATTACTTCTATCCAAGATGGAAGGATTGTCAAGAATTATCTATCCGGCTTATTCTCTAAGAATTCCTCAAAATATTATTAAAGAAATTAACCAAAACAATTTTAACTTTATATGGAAAAACAGACATCATTATATAAGAAGGAATGACATCATCAAATCAATAGAGGAAGGGGGTCTCAATGCAATCGATTTTGATATAATGAATGGTGCACTTAAGTTAAAATGGCTACAAAATTTTATAAAGAATATAAATATGTTGTGGTTTAATCTTCCTGCTAAAATTTTCTCCAGTGTAGGCGGAATCCAATTGCTTCTTCAATGTGACTTTGAATTATCCAAGCTCCCTATTAAGTTATCCAAATTTCACGAGCAAGTTCTACAATATTGGAAATTAATGTATACACATAACTTCACACCGCACAACACGCCAATATGGAACAACCGTTATATCCTGATTAAAAGGAAATCTTTTTTTTTTAATGATTGACATCTCCATGGAGTATGGTCCATTTTGCATTTGATGGACCAGAATGGAGAATTTCTTAATTTTACGGCTTTCAATCGCAAATTTAACCTAACTTGTTCTTCTAAGCAATATGCCGAGGTAATCAAGGCAATCCCACCAGCTATATATGCTAATTTGAAAGGCACTTTGTTGTACTCTCGCCTTATTCCAATAATGCCTCCTTTAACAATTAAGAACTGTTCTTTTGTGGACAGGAACTGCAATAATAAAATCCTTAGATGTTGGCTCACTGACGTCCTCTTTCCCTTACCTCTTAGAAGACAGGAATTAGTACGTCAATTTAGTAATTCTGATGTTAAAAACATTAGATGCAACTATCTCAAATTCTCAATCCCTCCTAAAGCCAAGGAAGTTCATTTTAAAACTATAAACAGTATTTATCCTTGCAAAGATTTCTTGCAGTCTAAATTTAATATTGGAGAGAACGACTGTGCCTTTTGCACTTCTAATATAGAAACTGAGATACATTTATTCTTCACATGCATCTTTACCAAATGTTTCTGGGATAGTTTTCACTCGTGGTTAACGCATAACAATTTCATTATACGCTCCTTATCTTTTTCTGACATCAAGTATGGTATTATTTTGGAAAATAAAATGCAGCAATTCACTGTCAATGATTTGATTATTTTCGCTAAATTCTTAATACACAAATGTAAATTTGGCAATATCAAACCGATCTTTATTGTTTTTTTGAAAGAACTTGCATACTTTATGGATTCTCTTAAATTATGTAGTTCCAAGAAAGCCATTTGGCTCTATAACAATTTGGTGAATGTTTCCTTTACCCCTAATGTTGTTTGATGTAATATATAATTTTTTTTTTGGTTATGATTTCTGCAGGTTGATATTGAGCTAGGTTAATATTATTGTTTCTGTTTGTACACCTGCTTTTTTTTTGTTTTGTCATGCTCAGAATTCAACTGTAAATACTGATTCTTATGTAAGCCTGTAAGCTTCATTGGTTAAATAAAACTTGTTTAAAAAAAAGTTTATATTTAACTATATTTAAACAGCTTGTTTCCTGGTTTAATATCGAGTCCAATTACGGAAAGAACAGCGAAAGTAATCAGCAAGGTCTAAAAAAACAAGTAGAAAAATATTTATTTGTTGTGTTCAAAAAGCTTTTGGTTTTTATTAAGTTTTGAAATCGCTAATTGTAAAATATGTAAACTACCATATGTATTTACATCTTAAAGATTAACAGAAATATATTTGATCGTTTTCCACTGTTTTTACAATTTTTTTTATCAGCTCCAACAAATTGAAACAAGGAGCTGTGCCGCTGAATGTCCACCAGACGGCGCCGTTTCACCGTCTAGTAAAGAAAAGCAGACCCTTTCAGCCAGTGGAGACAAAAAATCCCTTCAGGACAATGAAGAGCAGTAGAAAGTAATGTCGAGGAAAAAGCTAAAGCTAGCTTCTGTGTGACGAAGATGAGTCTAACACTCTAGGCTCGTGATTTAAGACTTGTTTGGGTAACTTAAAACTAGTAAACTATAAACATTAAAGTGAAATATAAACAATAAAAAATGGTCGTAAAGGTAACAGACGCCCTCTAGCGGACAACTGAATATTACATAAACAACAAAAAAACTGTCATGGCGGCTACCTCCAGGCTGACTGGTCACCGGTTAGTTTATATTTAACTACTTTATTTAAACAGCTTGTTTCATGGTTTAATATCGAGTCAAATTACGGAAAAAACAGCGAAAGTAATCAACAAGGTCTAAAAAGAACAAGTAGAAAAATATTAGTTTATTTGTTGTGTTCAAAAAGCTTTTGGTTTTTATTACGTTTTGAAATCGCTAATTGTAAAATATGTAAACTACCATATGTATTTACATCTTAAAGATTAACAGAAATATATTTGATCGTTTTCCACTGTTTTTACAATTTATTTATTTATTTATCAGCTCCAACAAATTGAAACGAGGAGGAGCAGTGCCGCTGGATGTCCACCAGATGGCGCCTTTTCACCGTCTAGTAAAGGTAAGCAGACCCTTTCAGCCAGTGGAGACATAAAAATCCCTTCAGGACAATGAAGAGCAGTAGAAACTAATGTCGAGGAAAAAGCTAAAGCTAGCTTCTGTGTGATGAAGGTGAGTTTAACACTCTAGGCTCGTGATTTAAGACTTGTTTGGGTAACTTAAAACTAGTAAACTATAAACATTAAAGTAAAAAATAAACAATAAAAAATTGTCGTAAAGGTAACAGACGCCCTCTAGCGGACAACTGAATATTACATAAACAACAAAAAACTGTCATGGCGGCTACCGCCAGGCTGACTCTGGTCACCGGTTAGTTTATATTTAACTACTTTATTTAAACAGCTTGTTTCATTGTTTAATATCGAGTCCAATTACGGAAAAAACAGCGAAAGTAATCAACAAGGTCTAAAAAAACCAAGTAGAAAAATATTAGTTTTTTTTGTTTTGTTCAAAAAACTTTTGGTTTTTATTAAGTTTTGAAATCGCTAATTGTAAAATATGTAAACTACCATATGTATTTACATCTTAAAGATTAACAGAAATATATTTGATCGTTTTCCACTGTTTTTATAATTTTTTTTATTTATCAGCTCCGACAAATTGAAACGAGGAGCAGTGCCGCGGATGTCCACCAGATGGCGCCGGGTAGAAACTAATGTCGAGGAAAAAGCTAAAGCTAGCTTCTGTGTGATGGTGAGTCTAACACTCTAGGCTCATGGAAATTACACATTACAAATTCTTTAAAGTACATTTTCTTAAATTGACCCAAATTTAGTCAGAAGTTTTGATAAACTCAAAATAGCAACACTTAAAATTTTATCACTTCCACATTAAGTGTTAATAAAAACAAGAGTCAAGCAGCTCTTTTTAAAAAGATGATATATTACAGAAACACGATTTTAAAATTACTTACAGACGTAAAATACTTTTTTCTTCAGCACCATGTTTGTGTTGAAATGTCTTCAACACAATGAAAACAAATAGTTGAGGTCATTTTCTTTAAGGGACAGATTCTTTATGTTCTGACTGTCCCACCAGTTAATTATATAAAAAATTAAAACAAATAAAACTAAAACGGCCCCGTAGAACCAGAAATCACTTTTCACTCAGTCCCTGCTGACGGATGTTCATCTCCACCGTGTCACTGCCCTTCTCTCACCCTCACTCCTCTCTAAATATTAAAATAATTAAGATTTTATTTAATAAATGTAGTTCGGTTTCACTAAACACAGGAACAAACCTGTTGAGTCAAACTGCAGCAAGAAAACAGGAATGTGAGAAGTGGAGTCACCGTTTAATCATGGCAGTGGAAACAGCACAGTACAGATGAAACTAGATAAGGGAGGGATTACAGTTTTAGTCACGGCCAGATTCTTTGGTTGGTGGGGGTGTGAACAGAAGCATCACAGCTGTGCAGTCGAGCTGCATCAAATAAATACAACTGAAAGTCACGTCTGCTAGAAATAATCCTCGGTTCTTATTTTAATCTCAAAGCACCCAGTTGGTTTTAAATAAATACAATAGAATATCACTATTTCTGTACAAATGTAATGCACATTTCCCTAGAAGAGACTAAAATGGAGGACTTTATTTTATAGAATTAGCACCTTTCCACAGTTTCACTCAGTAACGTGTGCATTTTTATTCTCTGCTGCAGGAACAGAAAACACCGGGTCTGGATCAGCACCGGAATACTGAAGTGGTGTCTGGAGGCCACTCAGGTACGTGATGGCTTTAGTCTCGCTTCACCGTCTCTCTGGTCTCACTAACCTTTAAAAAGCACCACATATATATATTCTAATGATCCGTTTGAGCTCTGAGGCACACTGTTAGATAATAAAGCTTTTAGAGCAGAAAGACGACTCCGATCAGAGCCTGATGGTGGCATGTGGTCCGTTCCTTGCTTGCTTTATTAGAAGTGACAGGATGTGACGTAACCGATGCTTAGATTAGGACAAATCTGGCTTTAGAAGAATAGATTCGGGTGTGAAACTGTTGGTCCTGTTGCTGCATGTGGGAATTACAGAAGTAGGATAACGTCTGATCGTGGACCTTTTCTTAAAGAGGAGGGGAGGTGGAGCAGGAAGTGGATGAAGGTGTCAGCAGGGAGGAGTAAGCCTGGGTCCAGGCCCGTTGAAGAACACTTTGTTTGATTCCCAGGAACGTCGTTCTTCGTGTTTATTTTCCTCCCAGTCGATGTTTCCTCTGTTTGGTCCATGTTTTGCTGGGAGGGCTCCAGAGGCACGTAGGCGAGTGTGTGTGTGTGTTTATATCATTTACAAGTTAATTTACAAATTACTGGGCCTGTATGTTTATCGTGTGTGTGTGTGAGTGAGTGTTCAGCCTTGGAAACAGACAGGTCCAACTTCAAACCCAAACTGCTGGTTGCTCTCCCCAAAGTCTGACACCTTGATGTCCAGCAGAGGGAGGTGCTCCACCTGAGGCGTGTTGATCTCCAGGACCGTCCTGTCGAAGCCTTTCCAGTACTGTGGAGAGAGACGGGGACACGCGTCAGATTTCCAGGTGAACCCACCCAGAACACACACTCAGAATCAGCTGTGAACTCACGGAGCAGCCGTCCACCAAGGCTTTGATGTAAGGGCTGGTCTCGTAGCTTAGCTCTTCCTCGTTGGCGCCTCTGAAGTGCAGCGCCCTCTTGTGGTTGTTCTTGGCGCTTCGGTCGGCCCAGGCCACAGAGCGGTGGCAGTGGTAGGTGAGGTTCTGACGGGCCTGGACGCTCAGGAGGCGCAGGAAGCCCAGCTGGACCACGCCCACGGGCTCGCCGTTCAAATCCACGTAGGAGAACTGAGATCAGGAAGTAAACGTGTGAAGGTCATGGCGGCGGCCATTTTTAACCTCTCCGAGTGTTACTGACCTTGCTACCAGTGGTGAACTGACTGTACCACGACCCTGGAGTCTCCTTGTCCCAGGAGCTCATCTTCACCTGCAGTCAGAAAGGTTCCTGTGGCATCAGTTAAACCAGTTTAGTTTGATGTTTCTATGATGATTTAGGTCTGACTGACCGTGTCGACGTCTCTGGGGTACAGGCACGTCTCTCCTTTAGTGAAATTACAGAAGACCTTGAAGGAGTCTCTGGAGCAGCCTTGGTTTGGGTCAATCCAGTATTCTCCTGCAGAAAGGTGAGAAGTTACAGAAGCTCTGGTGGTGTTTGTGTTGGTGGCTTTTACTCTAAAGGAAACCGAAAACAACCCGGATAAGCAGCATGTGATCCTCTCACCATCCTGGAGGTCCGGCTGGCTGAGCTGCAGGTCCTGGCAGGTGCGAGCCGGACTGTCGCGAGTCCCCAGAGGGAAACGCATCGTCTCGATCTCCTGCCTTAGCGGGTTCAGGGATCCGAAGATCTCCTCCATGCCTTCACTGCCCATCAGGAACTCCGTACCAGCGGTGTCGGAGGCTGGCGCGTCGGGGTTGAACTCAGACAGCAGCTGGCTGGCATCGATGGAGCGTTTAGTCTTGGGACTCCTCAGAATGGGCAGAGGCTGAATGGCCTCGCCTGGGGGACCCTGGCACAGAAGAATCTAACTTAACTCCGATTTTTATGAAGTATTTAAACAAGTATTAAACTTACAGGAGGCCCAGGAGGTCCTTGCACACCCTTCTCTCCCTTTGGACCTGCTCCTCCCTAAAGCAGAAAGATTTTAGAATCAGCCATTTAAACAGTTTGTTAACACGCCTCAACTAAAGCCGTGCAAACACCAACTCACACTGGAGCCCTTTGCTCCTTTGACACCTTGCGGACCCTGAAAAACAGAGCAGACGTCAGTTTTCCAACAATGACAAGAAGATCTGAATAAGATGGTAAAAAACTCACAGGAAGCCCAGGAGGACCAGCAGGACCCAGAGGTCCAGTACCTCCAGCCATCCCCTGTAGGGAGACACGTTTTATAATAAATGATAACCGGCGTGGAGCTGCTGCTCATGACTTTAACTCACAGGTTCTCCTTTAGGTCCGGTGGATCCATGAGGCCCAGGCATGCCCCGGTCTCCTTTCTCTCCCTGCTCTCCTGAAGGTCCGATCAGACCGATGAGACCCTGGTGACCCTTCTCACCCTTTGCACCAGGATCTCCACGCAGGCCAGGTAGACCGGGAGGTCCCTGCAGCACATCAGAGGAGGAGGTGAGGAAAAGGTAAACTCACATTTAACCAACCAGCTTTAGTGAATAGTGATGATGTCATTGACTTACGATAGGTCCAGGTGGGCCCGTCTGTCCAGCAGATCCTGGAGATCCTTGCTCTCCCTGAAACATCAAACAGGATCAGCTGCTGGATTCTAACTAAATACAAACGCTGCTGATTCTGATTCCCAGGAAAACCCACCACTGATCCTGGAAGTCCTCTGAGACCTTCTGTTCCCGGTTTTCCCGGCTGACCCTGAGGACCAACGGGGCCGGTCTTCCCTGGGGGCCCGACGGCACCTGGATCCCCCTAAAGGTGACGAGAACCATCAGCGTGTTAATTTTCCACTTCTGCATGAGAAACTCTGTAGGCTTAAAGTGTGTTTTATGTTGTAATCCAGGTCCTCCGCTACCCAGCATGTTTTAGTTGTTTCTCTGCTCCAACATCTGATTTTAGTCAGCAGGGAAACACCTGAAACACGCTGGTTAGCAGACCTCCAGGAGCAGGAATAGCCATCACTGCTTTGGAGGCTGATCTGAATCTAAATGTGCTGAAATGTATAATTTTATTTTGACGTTAGAGTTTGAGTAATAAAATCACAAAATTAATGTAATTTATTAATTTGACTGAAGCTTAGAACAATGAAGCTGTTTAAACAAAGCTCATAATTCCCAGCTTTACTTTTGTAAATGTAAAATTACTATTTTTATGGATGGAAATGATTTACTTAACGGGATCAGGAGACGTCCTCTTTAACTCATTCACTGCATGTTTTTACTGTGTGGGCGTCGGACGAGCCCCCGCTCCGTGAGAACAAACATCTCGGCTCTAAAGCCGATCTTCATCCACGTACGTCACACGTCACGTGATCAGGAAGCAGAACATCCATGTGTTAGATCGTTTTGGGCCGCTGCTGTAAAAAAAGTGAGGCACGAACCGGAAAAGCGTCTGCCGATCACAATTCAACAACGGATCATGAAAGAACGGATAACGCTCGGATTCCTCCTGATGTAAGAGGCGGGTCTCCGCTTTGTTTTGGTAGCTTTGGCATCGACATCATCCTAGCGCGCAACGTCCTGTGACTCTTAAAAAACGGTGAGAAACGCCGGCAGCGAATGAGTTAAGGGTTTTCTAGTGTTTAAATCTGCATGTTGATCATCTGTAAAAACGACTCACTTTGGTTCCCTTCTCTCCTTGTCGGCCCTCCGGTCCTCTGGTCCCAGCAGGTCCCTGATGAATAAAATAGTTTAGGAATAATTTATCTATCGGATGCTTATTTAAAAGCGATAGGCGGATACATCCATCCATCTGGGCTATCAAACTTTACCCTTTTTCCTGGAGGACCAGGTGGTCCGTTCTCACCGGGAGGTCCTGGAGAACCCTGTAACAGGAAATGGATCCATGAGATTTAGGGGACAAACCGTGTTTGATGTTCCTGTTGCATCGTTTTACTCACCGACTCTCCTGCTTCACCGTCCTCTCCTCTCTCTCCTTTGGCGCCATCTTGACCCTGAAGTCAAAGCCGATCAGGATTAGATGAGATGTTCGGTGGTGCAGAAGATGGTCTGTAAAACTAAAGACACTTACTCTGGGTCCAACCTCACCAGGAGCACCAGGATCTCCAGGGGAACCAACTGGGCCCTGAAATTACAGAACCAGTCACGATAAGTGACAGGTCTGGGTGTCTGGATGGTAGAAGAACTGCTTCACTGCGTCTTACTGGGTTTCCTTTGGGTCCATCATCTCCAGGTCGTCCTCGTCCTCCAGCAGGTCCAGCAGTTCCAGGTTGTCCAGCTTCTCCCTTCTCTCCGCGTTCTCCACGAAGACCCTGACAACGAGAACACGGCTGTTAGCTAACCGGTCAGCGGGGCATCAGAAGACTTTGGCTCACTCAGGTACTCACCTTCTTTCCTGGTTCTCCAACAACTCCAGGTGCTCCCGCCTCACCAGGCTCTCCCTGTGGAGCAAACACTGAATGTCTTATAGCAGCTATTTTATGAGAGACTATTAAAGTCATGCAGGAAAATCCTCCAATGCTGCACCTTCTCTCCAAGAGGTCCAGGATTACCCAAACCACCAGGAGGACCTTGAGGTCCCTGAAATGCAACCATGAAACAAATGTAATGAGAGACAAAGTTCCTACTAACAGACCTGACTTGGTAAAAACTACAGAAGCAACTAGAAGAGCTCCAAGCACTCACGTCGGCTCCGTTGGGTCCAGCAGGTCCGCGGGGTCCTGGAGGTCCAGGAGGACCCTGGAGACATAAAAAAGTTGTATTGCTGTTGAAGAAAGAAGCCACATCTCCAGTTGTTTTAAGCTCACCAATGGCCCAACGTCTCCGGTCTCTCCCTTCTCACCCGATGGTCCAGGCAGGCCCTGTAGACCAGAAGAAGTTTAACCAAAAACTGGTTAGCAGCTTAGCTCAGGAACCTAAACACGAGCGACTCCAACAGAAAACTGTTTATTGGTTTTTCTTCTTTCACCTGAAGTCCGATAGGTCCCGGAGCTCCCGGGAATCCTCGAGTTCCTTCGTCACCTTTAGCTCCAAAAGGTCCCTGCTGCCCCCTTGGTCCCAGCTCTCCATCTGCCCCCTGCCCCACAGAGGAGATAAGAAATGGTATGCAGCCCACATCCAAGCACCAAATCAGCATTTTGATCTGTTTCTACTCACAGCAGGACCGGGTTGGCCAACTGGACCGTTTGGGCCAGGTGGACCAGGAGGACCCTAACATGAAAACACGCATTTTAGCTTTAAAACATGAATATTATTAATAATAATAATACGACACACGAGGGCTTCACTAAGTCACTCACATGCTCTCCTTTCCCCCCCTTGGCTCCCTTCTGACCGTGTTCTCCAACTTCACCCTGAAGACACGTTTTATCAGTTTGAGCACATACGACTATTATTGGTCAGGATAATAGATGCACGTGCATTTAGAATATTTAATAAGGAATATTAGAGGAGGTTCTTTTTGCTTCGGACATGAAGGTGTTTCTAGTTACCTTTACATGTTTCGACCGTCGTCTGCGGTCTTCTTCAGAAGTCTCACAGATGTTTGTTTGACGTGTCTTTATCAGCTGTTCTTCCGGTGGGCGTGGCCAACCCGGAGCTGGCTGGTCTTTGGAGAAGGGAATCCCAGGTGCGAGACAGCTGATAGGCTCCCTCGTCTCTGTTCATGCTCCCGTTTCCTCATTTCTATTGCCTCCCTGACCCAACGTTTGAACCGGTTGTTCTCGGTGTTGATAATTTTCCCTTGATCCCAGTCCATGATGTGATTATTTCGTTTGCAATGATCTGACATGGCTGACTTGAAGGTTTGCTCCTCTGCTTTTTTTTGTTGTTGTCCTTGTGAGGCGACAGAAATAAGGAAACGGGAACATGAACAGAGACGAGGGGGCCTATCAGCTGTCTCGCACCTGGGATTCCCTTCTCCAAAGACCAGCCAGCGGAGGTGGGCGTGACCGACCCGGCGGATCTGACAGATCCGGCTTGGCCACGCCCACCGGAAGAACAGCTGATAGACGAGTCACACAAACACCTGTGACACTTCTGAAGAAGACCGCAGACGACGGTCGAAACATGTAAAGGTAACTAGAAACACCTTCATGTCCGAAGCAAAAGGAACCTCGTTTAATATTTAAAAAGAGGACATAATGAACATTGTAAAGGATTTAATAAGGAATATCTATAATTAGGATCTAAAATGTCCCATAACTAAAATAATGTAGAAGTCGGTTTTGTGTCGACTGTGACTAAAGTCTTGGGACGGTCATGTGGAGTTACTCACCTTATCTCCATCCTCTCCAGGTACTCCAGGTGATCCAGCAGGGCCGGGCAGACCCACTGGACCCTGGACTCCATCCCGCCCTGCTGGGCCAATGGGGCCTTTCTCGCCCTGTAAAGGAGAACGTCTGAAGTTATTCCGTCTTTAGCTCGCCACGCCGAGTTAAAGGATATATTTTAGGTTTGTGTTACTGATTAAAAACGTCCTGATAACTCACTGGAACGCCCTTCTCTCCAGCTTGTCCTGGTGTTCCTTGAGGACCTGGTCTGCCAGGAGGTCCCACAGGTCCAGCGGTTCCAGCAGAACCTCTCTCACCAGGAGAACCCTAGAAAGTACACATGTTGGTACACTTAACAGTGAGCGAGTACTTCTACCTTTGATTGGGTCTTCTGACATCAACATCAGCCTGACTCTGACAGAAACGACCTTAACCCTCAGGCTTCACTTTAACTTTCATACAAAAGAGTCATTAGAGGGCAAAAACGTCCGCTTGTAAGGTTTTTTTTTAGCTTTCTCGCCTGGGCAACATATGGAGAAATGACAGAATTTGGTGGTGAACAGTAAAAATCATAAATTTGACTACTTTGTCCAAAATGAAACCATAACATCACAGAAAGCATGATTACTTGCTGCAGATGATGCAGGATCAAAAACTGTGGTTTGCATTGAAGTCAATGGGACGTTTTTGCCTCTAATGGCTCGAGTGTATAGTGAATTTTAAATCTGTTGCTATGTAAAAACTATAAATGCAAAAAATTCAAAATTTTAGATATTTCATAACATAATCAAGACTGATTGGAACTAAACACCCCAGGCATTAAAAAATGTCTTTTTTAGAAAATAACTCAGTTTTAGTTTTTTTTCTTCATAAATTACATCAATGACTGAGTATTCAAACTGGCATTTCAAGGGTTAAAAGCCTCAAAATGACTGATTTTTTTTTATGTTTGAGCAGGGCTGAAGTTGTTCAACAGATGTGTGAAAAAAAAACATTAAAAAAAATTTTATAGCCACTTTTACAAGCGGATGTTTTTGTCCTCTAAAGTCTCAAGTGTTTCTTTCATAGTGTTCCCTTGGTCTATTTTAAAAATTCCAAATTTGTCCAGAGAGCGGTTTTGCGACAACATTTTTTACCGTATGCACAAACGGTGGTGAAATGGTGTCAAAACGAAAAACAAAAAACTGCCCAAATGGACAAAAAAGTCCCTAACGAAGCCTGAGGGATAAGTTTCATAAGATTGTTCAAAACATACAGCAGGTCCAGGAGGTCCAGCAGGTCCTTCGCTTCCCTTCAGTCCTCCACCACCCTGGAAGGAAACATCAAAAGATCTCATCAGTTTCACCTGAGCTCCACTAAACCCTCTAGAGAAACATAAAGCATCAAACTCTGATGGTCTGAACTCGTTTCACTCACAGGGGTTCCAGGAAGTCCTCTCTCTCCAGGGAATCCTCTCAGACCAGGAGGCCCATCTTTACCAGGGCCTCCTGGAGGTCCGGGGTCTCCCTTGGTGCCCTCTTTTCCTGACGGACCAGAAAGTCCCTGCTCTCCTGGAGGACCTGGAGGTCCAGGGTGCCCACGCTCACCCATGGGGCCCGTTTCACCGGATGGACCCTAGGAGGATGGAGGGAAAAAAAGACTATGACTGCGTTGTTGCAAAAGCTGTGAAATGATGGAACCGGATGGATTAACCCACCTGAGGTCCTACAACTCCCGGAGGCCCAGGTGGACCCACTTTACCTTGGAACCCCTGTAGAAGAAGACTTGGTGAACCTAAAGATGCAGCAGAACACCTTTAACTAAGTTTATCTACAAACTTACGACTTCTCCTCTCTGTCCAGGATGTCCAGGCAGTCCGTCCTTTCCTGGTGGTCCCTGTGAAGTATTAGTTTTCCTTAATTCCCCAAAAACTTCAGCTCCCATTTCAAAACAATAACCTAAAAGTGTTCAGCAGCAAAAAGCACTTACTGGAGGTCCCTTTGGTCCGGGGAAGCCGTTGGCTCCTTGAGGTCCGGGTAATCCCTGATCAGACCACGACATCGTATAAAATTAGAACATAAATTATAACCTAATTAAATCGTTTCATGATTTCCTGTAGCAGCAAATAAGAACTCACCCTCTCTCCAGGAGGACCAGGAGGGCCGTCACTTCCAGACGTTCCCTATGAGGAAATATAATATTTTAGGTCTGTTTGACACACAAAAATACTTTTAGATTATTGTATAAATAAGAAATTATTCATATGAAGATTTGATAAAAGGGAAAAGCGTACATTTGGAGAACGTTGCTAAGCCTGGGTGTTTCGATGTTTAGACAAACCTTTGCTCCTAGTTTTCCTGTTGATCCCCTCGGTCCTCTCTGCCCTCGAGGACCCTGGTGATCACAGACAAGAGTTAAAATAGATTTCCTGATCCAGAAAAAATTTTTATAAATGCAACCAAATTAACACATTAAACCATGATGTGCTACTACTAGTTTACCCGTTTAATTATAGATTCACTAGGAGAAATACAATAAAGTTTATCTCTCACCAAATAGAATATTTACTAAGAAATCACAATGTAACGTGTGTGTGTGTGTGTGTGTGTGTCTTCTCGATCCCCAGTGAGTCGTGGAGGATGGCTGCTTACACTGAGCCAGGATTCTCTGGAGGTTTCTTCCTGTTTAAAAGGAGTTTTCCTCTCCACTGTCGTTGCATGCTTGCTTAGTATGAGGATTGCTGTAAAGACTCTGACACTCGTCAGTGACTTGATGCAACCTGCTGGGTTCCTCATATAGGAAACTTTTTTCTGATTGGCTTAATGAACTGACCTGGATTGGAATGTTTACTGTGTGAAGGTCCTTGAGACGACTCTGGTCGTGATTTGGCGCTTTATAAATAAACTTGAATTGAATCATAAGCACAGTGCAACACCACCTAAACTGTTACTGACCAAAGGTAGTCTCTGCTGACCCCCAGTGGCTATAATTGTAACTGCACTGGTGCTAAATGATGTCGACACAAATCAGCTTCTGTTTAGTTCCTCTGGTCTGACTAGGAGCTCTGAGTAAATGAGAACTTTACCGTTGGTCCTCTTTGTCCTCTTGGTCCTTGTTTTCCAGAAACACCCTGATTTAAAAAAGAAAACAAGTTATAAACTAATAAAGCACGACTACGTCTGGGTAAAATCATCACTAGTTTTAATGTTTCAGGAAGGTAACTCCTGCTTTGATAACAAGTATAACAGCTCACCCGCGTTCCCTTCTCTCCATTAGAACCAGGAAATCCAGGGAATCCAAGAGATCCCTAAAAACAAAAATCTTTATATCAGTAATTATAGAAACATTAACTAACTTCTGATGTACAAGTGTTTATTTACCTTGGGTCCTTGTCTTCCAGGGTATCCAGGAAGTCCAGGTACACCAAGTTTACCCTGGAAAAATGTCAACGATGTCATAAAATGCACAAAAAGTTTATTAGCGGGTTTCAGGTAAATGTTTAGGTAGAAAAGGAGACAAGCAGCTAGTTTTATTCTCAGATGCTGTAGTTGTGTTATTGTGTCCTGCAGTAAATTTAGAGGAAACATGTTTAGTTTAATAAAGCTAAAATAAACATTTAGAACAGGGGTGGGCGACATATCTTATTTTCCACATCTGTTGATACTGATATACATCACCATATAAAACTAATCAATATGTATCTACCTTTAATGTTCCTGTTTAACCTGTTAAACCCTAACACCCCCCAACTGGGGGCCTCTACAGTTTCATGTCCCAGACATCTACAACTGTCCACATTCTCCAAACAACTACAACCACAATCAAACAGCTCAGATGGGAAACAAGGCCATTTTAAATTGTAATAAATTAAGAAACAATGATGTTTGAACTTTATTTTAGAAGAGCATCTGGCCTTCTCTGGTCTCTGCTGGAGAAAAAAAACCTTGAACAAATGTAGATGAGGATCCCTGGAATAAATAAAACAATTGACTAAATTTCCTAAATGGAATTTGAACTCACAACCTCCATCCTGTCAGCACTTTCACACAGGGCAGCTCTTCTAAAATAAAGTTCAAGTATTATTTTATCTTAATGTGTCAAAAACCAAAAAGAGCTTTGTTTACAATCTAAACTGTTTTGATTGTAGCTGTGCTCGGGTAATGCAAACAACCACTGACACTTGGGACATGAAACTCCAAAGGCCCCTGATTGGGAGGCGCCAGGGCCCAAAGAAAAAAGGCCTAGGGCCTAAAGTTATTTTTGATTTAAAGCTGCAGCGCGCACGTGTGGTCGTTAGAGGAACTGCAGTCAGCACAACGCACGCCCGTGACATTAAACCAGAAGTCCTGTATTATGTGACATCCTCTTTTAAAACTAATTAAAATGCCACAAAGTAAAAAATGTCACCCTTTTTTCCATTAACCACAAAAGGAAGTACAACCGTGAGCTCATCTTTATATTCTTCTCTGATTTAAACGGTCGTACCTTCTCTCCAGCAAGCCCAATTGGTCCGAGTTCTCCAGGAGGTCCAACACGACCCTTTGGTCCCTCTGGGCCATCTTCTCCTCTGGGCCCTGAAACTCCAATCTCACCCTACCAGTGAGGAACATCAGATAACAACAGTCACAATAAAGCAAACATGAAACAGGACTGAAACATCATCTAATCTTATCCACCACAAACTTATTAGCTATCATTTATTTTACCCTCTCTCCCTTGATGCCAAAATCTCCCTTAATTCCTGGGAAGCCATCTTCTCCCTACAAACAAAAACAGTTATCTGTCAATCGAGGATATTTAGGACATTTCACATGACTGATCTTAGGCGGTAACGCAGGAGTTACCTTCTCTCCTTTGTGACCCTTTAGACCGCGGATTCCTTGCACTCCCTGCAATCAAAACAAAATGTTTGGTGGTTTAATCTTTTTAAATATGACATGAAAAAACTTTAAAATATATCATTAACTCATTCGCTGCCAGCGTTTCTCGCCATTTTTTGAGTCACAGAACGTTGCGCGCTAGGATGATGTTGACGCCAAAACAAAGCGGAGACCCACCTCTTACATCAGGAAGAATCCGCGCGTTTCGAGCGTTATCCGTTCTCTCATAATCCGTTGTTGAATTGTGATCGGCAGAAGCTTTTCCAGTTCGCGCCTCACTTTTTTTTTACAGCAGCGGCCCAAAACAATCTCCTAACACCTGGATGTTCTGCTTCCTGATCACGTGACGTACGCGGATGAAGATCGGCTTCAGAGCCGAGATGTTTGTTCTCACGGTGCGGGGGCTCGTCCGACGCCCACACAGTAAAAACATGCAAATGGCAGTGAACGGTTGGATTTAAAATGTTGACTTTTGTCATCATTGGCAGTATATGAGTTAATACACTGCTCAAAAAATAAAGGTAACACAAAAATAAGACTAGATCTGAAGCTGAACGTGCCGACAACAAACACAAAAATTATCAATGGAAATCAAACGTAACCCACGGAGGTTTGGATTTGGAGTCGTACTCAAAATAAAAGTGGAAAAACAACAGGCTGGTCCAGCTTTGATGTCACGTCCTTAAAACAAAAGAAAATGAGGCTCAGTAGTGGGTGTGGCCTCCACGTTTGTACGATCTCTACAACTCTTGGGCATGCTCCTGATGAGGTAGAGGATGGTCTCCTGAGGGATCTCCTCACAGGGTTCTACAACCTCACAACATAATCGGTCCTTCACTCATTCACACGCTGGTGATGATGAGCTATATTGTAGCCACAGCTGCCCTGGGGCGCATTGACGGCAAAGACTGCCACACACTGGCACCACCAGTCTCTCCAACCACCACCATCAAGCAAGGCGGGTTAGGAGTCTTGCCCAGGGACACAACAGCAGCATTCTCTGGTGGGAGCCAGGATTGAACCTTGTAACTTACCAAAAGGTCAAATATTTAATCAAAAATTACCAGAAATTTACTTGTAGACACAAACTGCATCCCACATCCAGGGATGCATCACAACGCCTTTAAACGTGTCAAATTCTGATTTGTAAACATTGGATATAGACAAGGATCACTTCCTGATCTAGTTAGTTCTTCAGAGTTCACTCGGTTTAGGCCGACCAGTGAGCAAGCATTTGGGACCACCCTCTTATCTGACCTCAGGTCAAAACATTGCTCTGCAAAGCTTGCAAGTGACATCAGACACAACAGCCTCAGATGCAAAATAGACACTCCAGCTTCCTGCCGTCACCTGAAGGTATCTCAGACTAGATGGGTCATGCTCGGAGGTAGGGCTGCTCGATTATGGCAAAAACAATAATCACGATTATTGTGACTGAAATTGAGATCTCGATTATTTAGGACGATTTTTCAATTTATGTTGATTTTATTTGTTTTTATTCTGTCATAAAATTGCTCAGGGCACAATCGGACAAAATTAAATAAGAAACAAGATGATCACTAAAATAACTCCTGATTCCCAGTATAAAAAGACCAATATACTTATAGCTCATAGTTTATGACCCAAGGGCTATAGACCTTGGTTTAATTCATTTAAGTCTAACCAGTACAGACCCAAATACCAATATCTTGCAAATTCTGACAGCAAGAATTATACAGTGGCATTTATAACAAATAAATGCAAATAAATTGATGTTCATAAAATGTTGTATAACATTTATTTAGTCATGTCAAGGTGCTGTAGGAGAGTGCACTAGCACCGTGTCCTCAGAGAGATTAGTTATTAGTTATCAGCGTGAGGAACTTATTTCTACCTTATTTATAAACTATTTATTTACAGGTCCATCAGTGAATGTAATAACTGTCCCAACCACAGCTGCACCCCCCCAACCCGGTTTCACAGCAATCATGGGCAAGCTGTACGTGTGTTTAGCGCGCAGCACGCGCACATTTAGCTGTTTTTAGCGGCTCAGGAGCCCGCAGTTACGGTGTGTGTCACTCACTCTGTTTAATCCAACAGGGAACCGGCTCTAAGAGCAGTTTCTTTAGCAACTGACACATCACTGCATCATTCCCTTTCCTAATGTCCTGAAGAACGGTCCGGAGCGCAGGCGGAGTGTTTAGCTAACCTGCAAGAAATGTCAACGGCGGTTATCCAGAAAGTAGCTAAGGTTACCAGAGATGTTTCTGAGGTGTTCGCTAGGTATTTTTACGATTTAAAAAGTCAAGAAGGGGGTCTGAAAAGCTGTTAGAAATAGCGTTGAAGTCGCTAAGTTGGCAACACTGTGGGAGGAGCGCTTCATTTGCAACTCAGGGCAGCGCAAGTGGGAGGAGCAAATAATCGGCTTGTTTTGTTTTTATAATCGTTCAAACCTCAGATCGTAATTGGGATAAAAATTTGATTAATTGAGCAGCCCTACTCGGAGGTCTCCATCCTGACCTCTTGACCCCCTGGATCTCACGTGGACCTTCGTACAAGGGTGCGTAGACTCAGCACAAATGGCATCGGATGGTTTTATGAACAATCTAGCTTATTAAACCATACAGCCAAACTGATTTTAAAACTCAGACATCTGAAACATGTAGCTCACATTCCACCATTTCATTCATCATCTGTTATCCTGTACAACCATCATCCATACTTTGTCATGTTTAATCATTAGTTTAGAAAATACAATTAAACTCATTTTTATAAACTATATCCTTGACTCTGTCTGAATGAATACGAAGTGTGTGTTCCCTGAAGAGTCAAAGAACCTAAAGGAACGTTAGTTCAAATATTCAAAGATCAATCAGATTGATATTTCATATTTATATGAAACACCACATCTTATTGATCATTTAATAAATACGAAGTCAATCCACACCGCTACAACCTTCTGATAACTGGACAACCCCCTCAACCTCCTGAGCTACTGCTGCTACCTGGACTAAAACATCTGCCAGCTCCTGGACTGTCTGTGGTGCAACGTGGTGTTGGTGGATGGAGCGAGACATGATGTCCTAGATGTGTTCAACTGGACTCGGGTCTGGGAAACGGGCGGAGCAGTCTATAGCATCAATGCCTTGCTCTTGCAGAAACTGCTGACACACTTTAGCCACGGGGTCCAACATTGTCTCACATTAGGAGGAACCCAGGGCCAACCGCATCAGCATGTGGTCTCACGGCAGTCTGACCACCTCTGGTGAGCACAACTCAGGTGTGTTCCCCCGTTTTCTTATTTTAATGCATTTTTAAAGTATTGGATATCGGCAGCCACTCATAATTAAGTGACATGAACAGAAAATGTGTTGGTATCTATGAACATTTTGATAAAATATTAAATAAATGTTCCGACCTTGATGCCACGAGGGCCAGGATAGCCGATGGCTCCTTGAGGACCGTTGGGACCCTGGAGATGATCAGGAAGATGAGTTAGAAGCATAAGACAACTAAAACCACAAAGATCTACTCTAATTATTCTAAATACACACAGAAAAAAGTTTAGGATGAAACAGATTAGGTGGTTTAAATCGACACCTACCTGGTTTCCTTTAGTGCCTGACGGACCCTCCTTTCCTGGGTGACCCTGAGAACAGAAAATGGGGCTTGAGTCTCTGGACAAATAAAAATACATAAAATCATATTTAATATTTTAAAAGGGAAACTTACAGGAGGGCCGTCCGCTCCAGGCATTCCTGGTAAACCCGGTTTTCCAGTGGGACCCTAGAAAGAAGCACAAAGTGGTCATGAGCTTAATCCGAGTACCGTATTTTCCGGACTATAAGCCGCTACTTTTTCCCCACGCTTTGAACCCTGTGGCTTATAATGAGGTGCGGCTTTACTGAAGATTTTCCTTCACCTGCCACTAGGGGGCGCTTTAACAGGAAGTGAAACAGGTGGAAGTCAAAAGTGGAAATCGAGGAAAGTGCTCATTTTAATTTAGCACATGCAAGCAGCCGGCACCACGAAGAATTTTTTTCACATCCATACCCCCTCGTCATGGTAACTACACGTATGAGTTCATATGATGCCGCATTTAAGCTGAAGGCCATTGATCTGGCAGTAAAGGAGGGAAACAGTGCTGCCGTACGTAAGCTTGGCATGAATGAATCCATGGTTCGGCGCTGGAGACGGCAGCGGGAAGAACTCATTCAAGCCAGCTTCACCCGGGGATGATGACAGCAACACGGACAGCGACACTGACATCGCCACAGAAAAGGTATGTGACGAAGCTCTTCTGAGGCTGTTCAGCTCCGACACTGAAGAAGAGGACTTTAATGGCTTTAGTGCGCAAGAGGAAGATGAGAGCGAATGACTTCTTCTGGTAGGCAAGTGTGTTTTATTTACTAACCAGGCATGTTTTGTGTGCAGTTTTTATTTTCTAATCATCCAGGCCTTATTAATGCTGAGTCAGCGCTGTTCTTTTCTTCTAAACATGCAAATTACGGTAATAACGTGTCAGTGCTGTTTTTATTTTATAACCATCCAGAAATATGAATGCTATCAGTGCTGTTCTCTTTTCTAAACTTGCAGGCACGTTCACCTGTGTTTAAAATTAGTTTTGTTGAATTAAAACAACGATGAAAAACCTCCGTGTAGCGACTTTCTGTCTAATTATCTCATGTTATGGCCGTACATGCGCTGTGCGCCAGAGACCTGCATGTGGCTGCTGTGCCGCGGCTTGTATTTGAGTGCGGCGTGTGTAGAAAACCTTTTTTTTTGTTGGTGGGCTCTATAGTCCGGAAATTACAGTAACTATATAATCCAAGACTAATCCTAATTTCTAGCATTCCCAGACCCAGTGGATATAGAGTCTCACATTCCTTAGTGGATATCAGTATTTCTATTCTTTTTGTGAAACCAGTTTAACATCTATACTGCTGCTGGTTTGTCCAAAATACAAGCTGAAAAATAAGGTTCATGGATATTTTAGATTTTTGTTATTAGGGCCTCTGGTTCATGAAGACAATAGTTAAACATGAGGAAGATCTGGAACTAGCAGCAGGGTCGTTGAGGATTTCACCATTTTAATGTAATTCTAGTATCTAGGACACAAATTCTGGGTTACTTACTTTCTCTCCTGGAGGTCCAATAGCTCCCTGAGGTCCTGGCATTCCCTGCAAAAACAACAAATATAAAACCAATTATGTATTCTTTACTCTAAACGTCGTATGCAAATGCAGAAAAGACACACTGCTCTCCCCAAAGGGGATGCAGCCTGTAAATTACTATAGAGCACACTAGAGAGCTGGGGATTCTTCAGCAACACAGGAACAATAAAACTGCAGAAACGTCGGTCTGTCACATAAAGGCAATGATACCAGTGATGCAGCTTCTTACTCCTAAAAAACATCAAATGGCAGGTAGGTTGTCTCACCTGAGTTCCTGGAGTTCCCTGCTGGCCTGGAGGTCCGGGCTCACCTTGAGGACCCTGAGAGATAAAATAAAAAGTGACTGGAAGGTACAAAAGGAGTAGTAAAATGTATGAAATTACTGGTTGTACAGTTCAGATCCTACTTGTAAATAATCTGATAATTTCATGATGACATGTTAAAGTTGCTTTCCGGAGTTTTCCCGTTTCAGAAATGATGTATAATTTGTCAGAAATCCGTAAAAGTGATTGTCTCATCCTGTGATAAAATGTAAGCGATACATCTTGTTTTTTGTTTTTTTTTGCTAACCACGCCCCCTGCCCTGCAGAGCGCCGTGCAATAGGAAACTGAGCGCCAACCAGAACTAACCAATAGCGTTAGACTACCGCGTACGTGCTTCAAATTTAAGGAATACCTCGGCTGATGCAGAGTTGAGGAACTTTTCACGGACAAGAAAGTCTCTAAAATATAAATATGTGAGACCACAAAGGAGAATAATACTCGTAAAACAACGTGTTTTTGCTGTTTGTCGCTACAGAAGCACATTTATAAACAGAAATGTGAAGTCGCCATCTTAAAAAAACAGGAACAGCGTTCTTGAGTGATATGCTTGTCAGCCACTAGATGGTGCCATCGGATAAGAGAAATACTCCGGAAAGAAGCTTTAACCATTACTGACCAAATTTCCTTTGGGACCATGAGGGCCATCATTTCCTCGTACACCCTGGAAGGAGAGAGAGAGCGCACAGTAAAAAAAAAAATTGCTGCCCATGTGAACAACTTCCTCACTGGTTTATATCAGAGCACTTTTTTGCAGGTAGAAAGTGAAAATGCCCTTTTTATTCTTTAATCGCAGCAAATCAGACACTGGTGATGAGAAAGTCCATCATTTTGAACATCAATATCTATAAAGTTCTGCTGTATTATTCTGATTCATGAAAACAAGATAAAAACAAAACAAAAAAGTCACACTACACTAAAACAGCTGTTAGATATAAATATATGGCGTAGATGTCAAAAATGGCTGCCAGAATCCTCCCTTCAGCAGAAACTGAAGAACATCACATCCTAATTTCTGGATCAGTAGCTTTCCCGGCCGTCATATCAGGATACAGACTGTTGCTTCAGGCATGGCTGTGGGTGTTGTGTGGTTTACTTACAGGAGGTCCAGAGATTCCTGGAGGACCTTTAGGCCCGAGCAGACCACGGGGTCCCTAAAGACAAAGACAGAAACACATCTAGGGTAAGATAAAACTCAGTAACAGGGAAAACTCAAGGTCTAAAACAATACTCTCAAATTCAACTACCGTATTTTCCGCAGTATAAGTCGCACCAGCCATAAAATGTATAATGAAGAAATAAACATATATAAGTCGCACTATAAGTCACATTTTGGGGGGAAACTTTATTACTTTTCTTACAAAATCTGAGACCAAGCGTTTCACATTGCAAGACAAGTACCGGTAATAATAACAGAATAAACAATCAGGGCGCAGCTGCGCGCCACGGTCTCCAGCAGAAGATGGCGGTGTTTCAAACCCTCCCAGTGGGTGGGGAGAGCGCCCGCAGTACCCCGCACGCCACAGGCTGCAGCAGGTGATGGCGGTGTTTGAAACCCTCCCAGCGGGGCAGAGGAGCTGAAACCTGGACCGGAGCCGGCCCGCAGCAGCGCGCAACGGTCTCCAGCAGGTGATGGCGGGGCAGGGGAGCTCATTCCTGGTCTGGAGCCGGCCCGCAGCAGCACGGTATACATAATTTGGTACATAAGTCACTTTGGTATATAAGTCGCAGGACCAGCCAGACTATGAAAAAAAGTGCAACTTATAGTCTGGAAAATACGGTATGTGAATAAATTATGTGTAAATATGCACAGCCAATAAAAATCAAAATGAGCTGGTAAATCTCTTTGGTTGCCATGGAAACACTCACGGGTTCACCTGGGAGACCCCTGGGTCCGACGTCTCCATCGTCTCCCTACAAACAGAAACAAGAGTGAATAAATGCTGACAAAACTGATATAAAGTAACACAAAGTAAGATTACTGAAGTATTTTAGATGTTTTTCTGTTTCAGAGCATACCCTCTCTCCATCTTCTCCTTGAGATCCTGGTGGTCCCATTGGTCCCGGGTCACCCTGACAAGATCCAAAGCAGAAGAAATCAGAACACAGAAAACTTCATCTACTTCCAAAAAACCCAAACAGTTATTCAAGCGTCGATGATATCACATGGATACATTACACATTACCAAGAACTTACCCTGTGTCCTTTGTCACCAGGCAAACCAGGAAGACCATCAAAGCCACGATCGCCCTGAGACGAACACACAAACCATAAGGCACAACGACTACACCAAACAGAATAGATAAAAAACACAAATAATTATTATTTAGGGAATAACCTGTGTTTTTATTTGACAAATATGATAACAGAGTGAATACTTTACTTTAGATCCGGGCTCTCCGGGCATTCCCCGAGGCCCATCAGCACCAGCGCGACCCTGAGAGCACAAGCAGACAATATTAAAATGTTTTAAAACAAACTTTAAATGTAAAGTTTGTTTTTACCAACTAAAACAACCCAAATAAGATTCTGTTTGGTCGTGTTTGCAAAAAAAGATTACAGGACCAAAACGACCTTATAAAAAAAAACACAAAGAGCTATCCTGGACCTCTGAAAAAACACAAGTGTTTGTTACAAACTATAATCTCTGTGTTAGCATGTGTAGAATCTGTGATAACAACTAGGGCTGCAACAAACGATTATTTGGATAATCGATTAATCGGATGGGGTCTCGACACGATTAATCGGATTACATAGGGACATTTTTAAAAACTGCTAGGGAAACGTTATTTTTCTCTTTCCTTCACTTTATTAAACACAACATTATTAGAAAACAGTTCAATAGCAGAAAAACAACATGCCATCACCTAAATTGTCTTATAAGGTGTATAGACAGAGACCCTAAGCTACACCTATCTGTGACCTAAAATGCTTGGTCCAAGTTAAACAGCTTAAAGAGCAAGTCAACCCCTACCAGAGTCTAACTCCACTCCCACTTCATGTTTGAAAAATGCAACACATGCTGTTGCCTGGCAGACCGAGAGGGCGGAGCCGCTAACAAATACACACACACTAAGGCTCACGACAGCATTGTGACATCATAATGTACCAGTTTACATCATAGCATACTTCTTAGCCAATAGCGGTGGCAGATTTAAATTAAAATACAGTGCAGAGTTTTTACCTGACAACGGCACAACACTGCCAGTTTTAGGCAGAATATTTAAATTTTAACTAAGATGCACTGAAGTGCCAAATTATTGACGATACGTGTCTGCAGCACGATTAGACACTCGTTTATTTAGTTTATCAGCAAAAAAAAAAGTTTATTTGGGGGTGACTTGCTCTTTAAGGGCAATTCTCATCTGTTTTGTTTGATCTCATCTGTAGACATTTATTATAATTGGGGATGTCAAACAACTAATTTTTAAATGTAATTAAACATAGGCTGTGAATTAATCAAAATTAATCACTATTTCCAAAAATGACTGAAAAAACCCCCAAATAAAACAAAAGTAAATGAATGCCATCCTCCTTGTGATGATGCCCTGGGCAACTGCCATAAAGTCACATCAAGAAATGCTGCTGATCATTCCAATGATCCCAAATAGACTCACATTAGGCCACATGAAAGCAACTGAACCCAAAAATATATTAACCAGTATATAACTGCACTCTCACACAACACGCCTGCAGCAACAGTTAGGACTCCTCCCTCCCTTAGCGTTTTCGCTTCTGAGGACATTGTGAAGCCACATGTTAGTAGTCTGGCCCCGGTGTGATCAACCAGTTTCTGCGGGAATGTGACGGCGGAACCGGTTCGCAGCGGCGCGAGTCCAGTCCGTCCCCCCCCCCCCGCCTATCTAATAGCGTCGCGCTTACAATTTTATAGACTTTTTTTAACGAGCTTAGAGCATGTCTAGCCTGTGTAATAATCCGGGGCTTGGGTGAATCACTTTTGAAAAGTTTTTAACTTACCCGGACACCGAGCTCTCGCCTTCCTCGCTGATGATTCTGACATGCTTGCGTTTAAGACGCTGCATCATCACCGTTGTATCCCCGTGCCATGCTAAGTCTGACCTACAAACGTTGCATGTCTTCGCCTGATTTAACTGAAAATGCTCCCAAACTTTAGAAATTTTTACTTTTTGGGGGTCTCGCTGCTTCTGCCATGTTCCTCTTACAAACACCTGCCGGCTCTGCACCGGTCTGCGCGCAACGGCGGGCAGGAGGGGAGGGGGCTTTTGGAAGAGTTGCGCAACACAACGAATCGATGACGCAATTCGTTGCCAACGCTTTTAGTAATCGATTTTCATCGAATTTATCGATTCGTTGTTGCAGCCCTAATAACAACAAATACAACAAATAAAAACTAAACAGAAACAAAGTGGCTGTTTCTACTCACTCTTCTTCCTGATTTACCCGGAGGACCCAGCAACCCCTGTGATCCTCTGGGGCCCTAAAAACAAACAAACAAACAAATGTCTGTGATTGGTGGCCGGTATAAATGATCAACACCAGTTTGGAGAAGCGACTGGTTTACCTGAGGACCAGGATCTCCACTTTCTCCCTTCAGCCCAGAGCTTCCTGGACTTCCCTACAACAAATGAAACAATTAATTTGTTGACATCCATATTTAAATGAAAACAATTACATTTGCAACACAAAACAAAATCATAAAAAAATATATGTGTCTGAAATCTTTGGGCGGGCGCAGTTCAATGAAACATAACAATAAAGAGTTCATGAATAATCTGTTGAGTAAAACATTGTTAACAATAAAAAAAAAACCTCTTGGTATAAACAACAAAACAAAGGGAAACATACCACAGGTCCAGGGCGCCCGGTGAATCCCATTGGTCCAGGAGGTCCTTTCAGTGCCATCTAAAGAAAGTTACATCTCTAAATCAATAGTGATGATGTGGCTGTTTATCAGGAATCTGTGGCAGAAATCTTATTTCTAAATCAGAAATATTTTCTGTAGGTTTTACGTTAGCAGCCTGTATTAAACTTTCAGCCCAAGTTTCAATTGTCACAAATTTAATTTGTATTTTGGTGCATTTTTCTAATTAAAATGGCTTTTTCTATGCAAGGAAAAATAAAACCTGCCCAAAATGGTATAAATCTATTTCTAACTGGGTAACAGTAAAGCATCAGACATCCCCTAAGTGCACAGTGAACAGGTGACATAAAAGTTTCTGACTGACCCTAGCCTGAGACAAGATGGCGGCTGCCTGGGCCTCCTGTGCAGAGACAACGGGACCCTTATCGCCGCCGCCCTGCCCAAAACGGAACTGCAAAGAAAGGAAGAAAAACAGAAGATATGAAGCAGATCCGTGTGTCGAATCGGAGAAAATATAACTGAACAACAAAAACTAACAAACAGAACCCAAAATGTCTTTGTAAGATGTAGCTGATTGACCAAATTGTTTGGTTGAGCGACCATAATGAAAATTCCATATATCAGTCCGAGTTAAAACACAAAACGACTAAATCTAGTGAAAATGCAGAATCACACCCATGATCAAAAGGTACAAGTGACTCACAGGAAGCATGACTGAGGTTCCAGGAGGTCCAGGGACTCCATCAGCCCCAGGCAGACCAGCTTTACCAGGAGGACCCTGCAGGGTGAAGAGGATTGATGAAGCTGACAGAAGTGCAGAAAAAGCTCTAAAATAGCAGTAATTACACATTCCTCAGAACTACTGATGCACAAATCTGCCCTGAATAGAATAAAGAAGAAAATATTACTTACCCTCTCTCCAGGGTCTCCCACAGAACCAGGAGGTCCAGATGATCCAGGTGGTCCAGACGGTCCCTTGAAAAGGAAATGTAGGATTTGTATATTTTTCAGCAGAGTAGAAGTGCAACTTAAAAATACCAGTTCAAATGAGGAAAATCATAAGGTCTAATCATTTTCATAAAGACTAAATAAATATGACGGACTTACTGCAGGCCCTTCAGGCCCTGGGGAACCTTCTATTAACATGCCCTAAAATGGACAAAATAAATAAAACAACTGAGAATTAAAAAAAGAAAGAAAACAGAATGCACCTTGCAGAAATCTAATAATAGGAAATAATTTAAAATATAAACACAATAAAACAGAATACTTCTCAAATATGAGCTGAATAAATAACTGGCCAAAAACCTTGGAGTCTTTCTCCAATTTTAACTTCTAATTATTGGCTCCTTTAAAACCCCAGAATTCATATCTTATGATGGGGTAAAGTTTTCATCATTTAACAAAATCAGACCCTCTAAATAAAAAGCTCAAGAGAATTTGCGACTCACAGGCTCCAAAACAGCAGGTTCTCCCTTTTCTCCTTTCTGGCCTCTAAAGGCGGCCTGAGGGAAAACACAAGTACCCAGGAACATAGTTCTGTCATTATAAACATACTTACACAGGAAACTGCAAAGCAAAACAAAAGTCTAGTTCATTCAAATATACGACAGGCACCAAGAAAATAAACTAAAACGTTTCCTGTATTATAGTAAAAGAACAAATTTACAACCTGTGTTGTTGTGAAAGGCATGAAAGCCTTCCTTCAAACATCATTGACTATTATGTTTTCCACCGAGCGGGTCCATTACTTTTCAACACTTATTGCATGAAAAAGCTTAGCAATAACAATAAAAAGCCATACACTGAGAAAATGACATTATTGACAGTTTTACTTAAAAATGCCTTTTTTTCAGTGTATGTGAGAGCTACTGCTTACATTTATTAGTATTCCCAACAGCTTTTACTTTGGTAACAGCTAAAGCATTATTGTCATTGAAAAAGTCAGTTTCAACCACTAACACACCTTCAAGGTCTTGAATTGCATTCAAATATGTGTTCCTCTTTGACTGATTGAGCTTGCCGTAGAAACAACTGAAATTTAAAGTTGAACATTTTTAGCTTAAAAAACAAATTTTTATTTAGTAAAATTTAACTAGAGCAATATCGTATGGACATCAGGGACAGTTCAACTGGATTGGCAGACCGGGGTGGTGGTCCCTCTATTTAACCCTCCCACTGTCCTAATGGGTAGGACCCCGCGAGGAAAGTTGACCATTGAGCAGGGTTGATGGTTTATCCCTTGGGTCCATATGGCAGGGGTGAGGAGTGAGCACCACCTCACCCCCGTCACGTGGACCTCAAGGGATAAACCATCAATCCTGCCCAATGGTCAACTTTCCTCGCGAGGTCACCCATAAAGACAGTGGGAGGGTTTAAAATGGGGACCGCAGAATGTGTTCCAACTACAGAGGGAGGAGCAATATGGTTTCCATTCTGGCTTTGGAACACTGGACCGGCTCTTTACCCTTAGGGCGTCCTGGAGAGTGTGTGGGAGTTTTCCCAACTAATCTACAAGTGTTTTGTGGATTTGAAGGTGTTCGACCGCATACCTTGGGGGGGCCCTGTGGGGGGTACTTTCGGAGTATGGGGTACAAGGCCCTCTGATACGAGCTGTTAGGTCCCTGCATGACCGGTGTCAGAGCTTGGTACGCATTTCCCACAGTGTCAGGCTCGTTTTCCGTGAGAGTTGGACTCCGCCAAGGCTGCCCTTTGTCACCGATTCTGAAGCTCTTGATTAACTAGTTGATCTACGTTCCTACCCTCATCTATGGTCACAAGCTTTGGGTAGTGACCTAAAGAATGAGACTGCAGATACGAGCGGCCAAAATGAGTTATTTCCACAGTGTCTGGGCTCTCCCATTGAGATAGGGCGAGAAGCTCGGTCATCCGGAAGGGGCTCAGAGGTGTAGACCCGCTGCTCCTCCACATCACGAGTAGCCAGTTGAGGTGGTTTTATAAACTATATCCTTGACTGTTTGAATTAATATGAAGTGTGTGTTCCCTGAAGAGTCAAAGAACCTAAAGGAACGTTAATTCAAAGATCAATCAGACTGATATTTCATATTTTTATGAAACACCACATCTTATTGATCATTTAATAAATACGAAGTCAATCCACACCGCTACAACCTTCTGATAACTGGACAACCCCCTCAACCTCCTGAGCTACTGCTGCTACCTGGACTAAAACATCTGCCAGCTCCTGGACTGTCTGTGGTGCAACGTGGTGTTGGTGGATGGAGCGAGACATGATGTCCTAGATGTGTTCAACTGGACTCGGGTCTGGGAAACGGGCGGAGCAGTCTATAGCATCAATGCCTTGCTCTTGCAGAAACTGCTGACACACTTTAGCCATGGGGTCCAACATTGTCTCACATTAGGAGGAACCCAGGGCCAACCGCATCAGCATGTGGTCTCACGGCAGTCTGACCACCTCTGGTGAGCACAACTCAGGTGTGTTCCCCCGTTTTCTTATTTGAATGCATTTTTAAAGTATTGGATATCGGCAGCCACTCATAATTAAGTGACATGAACAGAAAATGTGTTGGTATCTATGAACATTTTGATAAAATATTAAATAAATGTTCCGACCTTGATGCCACGAGGGCCAGGATAGCCGATGGCTCCTTGAGGACCGTTGGGACCCTGGAGATGATCAGGAAGATGAGTTAAAAGCATAAGACAACTAAAACCACAAAGATCTACTCTAATTATTCTAAATACACACAGAAAAAAGTTTAGGATGAAATAGATTAGGTGGTTTAAATCGACACCTACCTGGTTTCCTTTAGTGCCTGATGGACCCTCCTCTCCTGGGTGACCCTGAGAACAGAAAACGGGGCTCGAGTCTCTGGACAAATAAAAATACATAAAATCATATTTAATATTTTAAAAGGGAAACTTACAGGAGGGCCGTCCGCTCCAGGCATTCCTGGTAAACCCGGTTTTCCAGTGGGACCCTAGAAAGAAGCACAAAGTGGTCATGAGCTTAATCCGAGTACCGTATTTTCCGGACTATAAGCCGCTACTTTTTTCCCACGCTTTGAATCATGCCGCTTATAATGAGGTGCGGCTTTACTGAAGATTTTCCTTCACCTGCAGGGGGCGCTTTAGCAGAAAGTGAAACAGGTGGAAGTCAAACGTGGAAATCGAAGAAAGTGCTCATTTTAATTTAACACATGCAAGCAGCCGGCACCACGAAGAATTTTTTTCAAATCCATACCCCCTCATCATGGTAACTACACGTATGAGTTCATATGATGCCGCATTTAAGTTGAAGGCCATCGATCTGGCAGTAAAGGAGGGAAACAGTGCTGCCGCACGTAAGCTTGGCATGAATGAATCCACGGTTCGGCGCTGGAGACGGCAGCGGGAAGAACTTATTCAAGCCAGCTTTACCCGGGGATGATGACAGCAACACGGACAGCGACACTGACATCGCCACAGAAAAGGTATGTGACGAAGCTCTTCTGAGGCTGTTCAACTCCGACACTGAAGAAGAGGACTTTAATGGCTTTAGTGCGCAGGAGGAAGATGAGAGTGAATGACTTCTTCTGGTAGGCAAGTGTGTTTTATTTACTAACCAGGCATGTTTTGTGTGCAGTTTGTATTTTCTAATCATCCAGGGCTTATTAATGCTGTGTCAGCGCTGTTCTTTTCTTCTAAACATGCTAATTACGGTAATAACGTGTCAGTGCTGTTTTTATTTTATAACCATCCAGAAATATGAATGCTATCAGTGCTGTTCTCTTTTCTAAACTTGCAGGCACGTTCACCTGTGTTTAAAATTAGTTTTGTTGAATTAAAACAACAACAAAAAACCTCCGTGTAGCGTCTTTCTGTCTAATTATCTCATGTTATGGCCGTACATGCGCTGTGCGCCAGAGACCTGCATGTTGCTGCTGTGCGCTTGTACTTGAGTGCGGCGTGTGTGTGTAGAAAACATTTTTTTTTGTTGGTGCGGCTTATATTGAGGTGCGCTCTATAGTCCAGAAATTACGGTAACTATATAATCCAAGACTAATCCTAATTTCTAGCATTCCCAGACCCAGTGGATATAGAGTCTCACATTCCTTAGTGGATATCAGTATTTCTATTCTTTTTGTGAAACCAGTTTAACATCTATACTGCCGCTGGTTTGTCCAAAATGCAAGCTGAAAAATAAGGTTCATGGATATTTTAGATTTTTGTTATTAGGGCCTCTGGTTCATGAAGACAATAGTTAAACATGAGGAAGATCTGGAACTAGCAGCAGGGTCTTTGAGGATTTCAACATTTTAATGTATTTCTAGTATCTAGGACACAAATTCTGGGTTACTTACTTTCTCTCCTGGAGGTCCAATAGCTCCCTGAGGTCCTGGCATTCCCTGCAAAAACAACAAATATAAAACCAATTATGTATTCTTTACTCTAAACGTCGTATGCAAATGCAGAAAAGACACACTGCTCTCCCCAAAGGGGATGCAGCCTGTAAATTACTATAGAGCACACTAGAGAGTTGGGGATTCTTCAGCAACACAGGAACAATAAAACTGCAGAAACGTCGGTCTGTCACATAAAGGCAATGATACCAGTGATGCAGCTTCTTACTCCTAAAAAACATCAAATGGCAGGTAGGTTGTCTCACCTGAGTTCCTGGAGTTCCCTACTGGCCTGGAGGTCCGGGCTCACCTTGAGGACCCTGAGAGATAAAATAAAAAGTGACTGGAAGGTACAAAAGGAGTAGTAAAATGTATAAAATTACTGGTTGCACAGTTCAGATCCTACTTGTAAATAATCTAATTTCATGATGACATGTTAAAGTTGCTTTCCGGAGTTTTCCCGTTTCAGAAATGATGTATAATTTGTCAGAAATCCGTAAAAGTGATTGTCTCATCCTGTGATAAAATGTAAGCGATACGTCTTGTTTTTTTTTTTTTTGCTAACCACGCCCCCTGCCCTGCAGAGCGTCGTGCAATAGGAAACTGAGCGCCAACCAGAACTAACTAATAGCGTTAGACTACCGCGTACGTGCTTCAAATTTAAGGAATACCTCGGCTGATGCAGAGTTGATGAACTTTTCACGGACAAGAAAGTCTCTAAAATATAAATATGTGAGAACACAACATGACAGGAGAATAATACTCGTAAAACAACATGTTTATGCTGTTTGTCGCTACAGAAGCACATTTATAAACAGAAATGTGAAGTTGCCATCTTAAAAAAACAGGAACAGCGTTTTTGTGTGATATGCTTGTCAGCCACTAGATGGTGCCATCGGATAACAGAAATACTCCGGAAAGAAGCTTTAACCAGTACTGACCAAATTTCCTTTGGGACCATGAGGGCCATCATTTCCTCGTACACCCTGGAAGGAGAGAGAGAGCGCACAGTAAAAAAAAAAATTGCTGCCCATGTGAACAACTTCCTCACTGGTTTATATCAGAGCACTTTTTTGCAGGTAGAAAGTGAAAATGCCCTTTTTATTCTTTAATCGCAGCAAATCAGACACTGGTGATGAGAA